CTAAGAACAATGTTAAGCAAAAAGTAAGTAAGTCGCTAAACTTAAGGTATATGATAGTCCATACGATAAATTGGGAATAAGAAAAAGTGAAAAAGGTATCATCAAATTAGTAAAAAATAAGAAAGAAAATGTAGGGATCTAGACCATATTAAATGCATTAAAAGTGAGAATCAAAGGGTCTCGGTGAAGAATGAAGATGTCAATGAAATGTGGAGAGTTTATTTTAAAAATTATTAAATAACGAACACAATGGAAACACAACGGTAGAAGGAACTATTAGCATAAATGAAGGCAGAGGTCATAAATACATTCGTAGGATTAGGATATCAGAAGTGAAAGGCTTTACGACCAGATAGTATCCCAATTGATGTTTGGAAGTGCATAGGGGAGGTCAACAATGACTAACTAACTAAGATGTTCAACAAGATGTTGAGAACAAAGAAAATGTCAGACAAATGGAGGAAAAGTATTGTGATACCTATTTACAAGAACAAATGAAACATACAAAACTATGCGAACTATCAAGGGATCAAACTTATGAACCTTACGATAAAGCAATGAGAGAGAGAGTGATTGAGCAACAATTAAGGCATAAAACGAGTGTATCAGAAAATCAATTCGGTTTTGTGCTAAGAAGGTCAACAATTGAAGCTATTTTCCTACTCAAGCAACTGATTGAAAAGTTTAGGAAAAGACTTCTACATAGTTTTTATTGATATAAAGAAATAAAGATGTCCCACATAGAATTAGAGCTGGTTGGAAGATGTGGAGATGTGCAACCAGAGTTTTATGTGATCGCTGCATACTAATGAAGCTGAAAGGAGAGCTCTATAAAACAAATGTGAGACTAACTTTGCTTTATGTGGTAGAATGTTGGGCGGTCAAGAAACATACCTACAAGATGAGTGTATGTGAGATGAGGATATTGAGATGGATAAGTGGCACGACAAGACGGGATAGAATTTAAAATGACTGAATTTGAGATAACTTAGGTGTGGTTCTAATAGGTGATACGATAAAATGATGAGAGAGAACATGAATGTATGTGAGATGAGAATATTGAGATGGACAAGTGGCAAGACAAGAAGGGATAGAATTTAAAATGAATGCATTCGAGAGAACTTAGGTGTAGCTCCAATAGGTGATAAGATGATAAGATGAAAGAGTAGACTTAGGTGAGCTAGCCATATGCAGCGCAGACCCAGTACAACACCTATTAGAAAGTACAAGTTGGTTCAAGTGAAAGGCTCAAAAGAGAAAGAGTAGGCCCAAAAAGACATGGTTGTAAGTAGTAAAAAAAGATATAGCGACTTATGGCCTCGGACAATCTTGTCCTTCACACACCTGCCTAAGAGGTGTGCCACGTGACCACTGGCTAGTGCGTCACCTACAAGACCCCAATTCATGGGACACTTGTTTTTATTATGTCCTATGTGTTTCCAATTTCTCTTTGAATTGACCTTTCTACAAAATAAAAAAATTTCAGAAGAACTTTTTTATTCCTAAAATACTCATGCTCTGAAAATATAAGTCATACACAAAAATGTAGTGATTAGTTAGAAAACTAAATCATATTTAGTTTTCTTGAAACCCTTGAAAAAGCCACATAGAAACCCTTGGAAGTTTATGCTAGCAATGGAACAGAAATCTAACTAGGTATTTCCTAACTACCCATGACTACACTCTTAACCTTAAATTAACTAAAAAAATGCATGTACTCATGATTGGCCTGTCATAGCTAGTCAAGGCATTGAGGAATCACTATATTGCCATAGATCCCAAGTAAACTCCACAGGAACAAGTTAGTGGTTACAAAGACGTGGGGAGTCCTCTCTTAAGAGCATGCTGCTCATCGACCACAGAGACCAAAAACCCTCAAGGATCACAAAGACCCCAAGGCAATGAGCAGCACGTATACTATGTGGATACCATGTCGAGGTTTTCAGGTACTTATGCTCACAAGCCACCATCCTACACCATAGAAGCCTATTTCATGGTTTCTCTTGTCCCACTTCACTCAGAAGTGTCCTAGTTACTCTTGGCTCAACATCCATTAATGGGCTAATAGAAACCTCAACAATGTACTTGCAAACCCTCTTTGATGATGTGCATTATATGGACTAAGTTTTATCTAGCCCAGGGTGCGGGTCCATTCCATCCAGCAAGGGCCCCTTTACATGCCATGGCAGGTGCATTGGAACCCACTATTTCCCAAATGGAACTGGCTCCAACCAGCTCTAATGGCCTCTTTTGTCAATGTAGAGCTGTGCTCTAATGGCTTCTTTCATCCAAGTAGAGCCTACTCATGCCCGCTGTAATGGTCTCTTTCATCCAAGTAGAGCCTTGCTTTATTGATCTGTTCCATCCAAGTAAGTCCAACACTTACATGGCCACTTTCATCAATGGAGTGGAAGAATCCCACTAATCCCGGGAGTAATCATAAAGCATGAGTATAAAATCACCCTGCTTTGATTAATACAAATCTTCATTGGTCCATAAACCCACTCTCCCACTCAATACTGGGCAGTGCCATATGTCATGAAAACTCTACATGAGGGAAAACTTGGAGCTAAGGCCTTTAAAGGCCATAAAACCCAACAATTTGATCAAATCATTAAGACAACAAATCATTTGGCTCAAGAATGATGATGGAGTCAGTATTAGTGTTTTTTGGCCTTTTAGTTTTGAACTGAATTTAGGATAATTAGAAAATATGCAATTAAAAATTATGAGTTTTCCTAGAGTTGAGTTTAGGATAATTAGGAAATATTCAATTAAAAATTAAGAGTTGTCCTATACTTAGTTTCAATGAATTTCATTTTAGAAGATTAGATCTTTTGGTTTCCATGGATTTTGTACCTCCAGAATGCCTTTTGAGGGTATCTCGGCATCTTTAGGATTTAGTAATGGATGGGGGGATAAGGTTTGGGATCTCTGGAAGCCTTTAAAAAAATTGTTGGAGTTGGTATAAGGATTTATATGTGGATAAAACAATTAGTAATGAATTTTGATTAATAAAAGTAAGTCTCAACAGAGGCTATTTTAAGTGTTTAGTCCTGCAGGGCAATCCCTCTTGTGTGATTTATTAAGTTGCATGCATTGTAGTTCCATGTAGATCAAACAGCAAGATACTTTAGGTATGTATACACCATATGCTGGGGCAGAAGAGTAAATAGAGGTATGATAAGAATCTTCGGCCTTCACTGATGGACAACAATGTTCTTGAGAATCCTCACGATAAATAGGTTTTAGAAATGGTAGAAGCTCAAGTCTGAGACTGAAGAAGTCTGTGACTTCACGAATTTTCAAATTGCTTGGCTGTTATAAAATTTAATTGTGTGTGTTCATGTTTCCAACTCCAATATTTGTTGGAAAAATAGGACAAGCTTTCTGATGGGTAGGAAATGGGATAGTAGATATTATTTGTAAAGGTGTCGGTTCATGGAACCAAGTAGTGACCACGAACAACATGAAGATGACGAGCGAGATCACAAAGGAGAGATTTTGGCTGCCGATCACTTGGAATAAGATGAGATTGCTCAATGTAAATGATATGGAAATCAGGATTAATATTTTTCATTTTTAATATTTATAGAAATTGATAGTTGGCCTCATGAGTTGTAACTTTGTGGAATAAGTTTTTCAGTGATTCTGATTTCTAGGAATTTAAAATAGCAGATGCATAGATAAAGGGTGTCACATGTGTGATTCAATTTAATTTGAAGTTCCTTCATAAATAAATAGTTCAGTAGATTAGAGATTCAAAAAAAGATTAATGTGTGTCCACTATTTAGTTCTGTATCTTTCCATTTTCAGACACATTATTTAACCTATTAAGTGATCCAATTCAAAAACCCGGGTATGATTCCCTCTGCCGACCTGACCAAAGAAAAGCCATCCAATCCTTCATCGTGATTTTTGGTTTTGACGGTCTATTGTTTCATATGATTAGTGCAGCTATGCTGGAATTCAGTTTTCAAATTATGGAATGCAGGGAACAATATTTCATGATTCCTTATTATTAGTGCATGAAGTGTCCTAGGATATGTTTCCAGCTTTCAAATTCAATGAGTAAAGCACATCTAGCAGAAAGGATCATGGTAAGAGGTACTGCACTCGAGGCACACTTGAATGGAAAGTAAGTCTCCTATGGACCATAAACTTTCATTTAGTGGTCCATGGGACCAAATTGCACATTTGCTTTGGTATCCTAAAGGGGATTTCCTTTCACAGATTCCCTGAACCAGCTATTCATCTCTAAGATCAATTTAGAATATGATTTGGAGTTCAAATACATGCTCTAACTCAATTACCCTCAAAGTATGAACATAGACTGCTCATTTGATGGAAAGTTCAAATCTAGGGTTGAAAGAGCTCATCGGTTTCATTCAAAATTGACCACAAGATGAATTGATGATCAGCACCATATATGCATAGGCTGTTGCTTCCCAAAAGCATCAAATGCAAGTTGGGTTAAGGTATATCAAAAGGTCATCTCAAACCTAAAATTCCATACTTCGTGATAAAGTAGAAGGCAGTAAATGCCACAAATTCCCCGGAAAATATGTAAGAGGTTTTGCACATATACTTTCTAACATCTGTCTCTTAATACTTGGACATAAATTGTCAGTTTACCTAAGTCATGTTGTAGACCTCTTAAACAAGTAGACAAGTGAAGGTTTGTGAATAACATACTTCATAGAATGAACACTTAAAGAAAAATTTACTACATATTATTAATATTCTATTTTAAGATAAATATGTACCTAATGTTCTTTTCATTATTTATATATGCAATGACTTAGGTGAAGGATGACGTCTGGTACATTGGTCTTATTAGGTCAAGTACCTAAATGAACATAGCAAACTGCATTAGGTAAAACAAAGCTAACCAAAGGAATGTATTTCCTACATGTGAAGGTGATTGTACAGCTAAGCAAAACAGTCAAATTACCTCCTAAAATTGGCCAGTTTCCTTGTTGAAGACATGGTGTGGACTATCTATGAAAAGGAAGTGCATTTTTCATATAACCCAATCATACTACCTCATTGTTACAAGAGCAAAGAGCTGAAACATTAAGTTATTGAAGCAATGTATATACATTGAAATCAAGTAGTTCTGGAAAGTAAATTAGCACTCTCTCTAGCATGGCGAGCCACGAAAGCCTCAACCAGTGGGTTTACAAGATCTGGTGCTTCATCCTACAAGAATAGAAAAAACAGCAATTCATATAGTATAAGTACACAGAACAGTTTCAGTTTTCATAAACTAGGTTCCAGCTGGTGACATTAGCCAAACCTGAGGGCAATGTCCAACATTTGGAAGAATAACGAAGTCCTCAACAGCTTCAAAAGCTCCATATGCTTTCCCCAGTTCAATAGGTTCCCATGGATCTTTGTCGCCCCATCCCACCAAAACTGGACACTACAAATACAAAGGAAGACCCCAATTATTTCAATTCAAAAAGACCCTCAGTAAGAATAAAGAATTGGTTTCAGAGGATATTCAGCAGAGGAAATGTTCCAACCTTCACTAGGGGTAGCAATTCCTCTGGAAGAGGACCATCTGAGTAACAAATAAATTCAAGAAACACATCACTAGCTCCAGGCTCAAGTCCTGGTTGTAGAATCTTTTGAACTAGCTCCTCAGTAACCTTGCTCTTGTCATAATAACACTAACAAACAGCAGAGAGAGGTCACAAATATTACATGCATATAGGTAGCTATCTCAAATTGACAATAGCTATAACAAAACAAACCGACATGGTACATATATACTTTCTAGTTTCCAAATGACAGGGATGTTTGATGAGAATTCAGTTAAACTTACTTCGTCATTCAAATGGAAAGAAAGACAATTAAACTAGACTGAGCTTATATATATATATATATATA